GAACTGCAGTGTTTTGATCTCAGCTCACTGCAACCTCCGCCTTTTGGGTTCAAGCAATTCTCCTGCCTCAGCCTCCCAAGTAGCTGGGATTACAGACATCCACCACCACACCCAGCTAATTTTTGTATTTTTTGTAGAGACTGGGTTTCACCATGTTGGCCAGGCTGGTCTCAAACTCCTGACCTCATGTTATCTGCCCACCTCAGCATCCCAAAGTGCTGGGATTACAGGTGTGAGCCACCACACCTGGCTCATATCAGCTTTCTTTGTAATATTCATACACTGGAAGCAACCTGAAAGGCTATCAACAGGGGCATGGATAACAAATTGTAGTCCATCTGTGCAAGGGAAGCCTACTCAGCAAAAAAAAAAAAAAAAAAAAAAAAAAGAAAAGAAATGAACTATTGGTACATTCAACAATGTGGGTGAATCCCACGATCATTATGCTGGGCAAAAGAAAACAGATAAAAAATAATACACATGGTATTACTCCATTTATAGGAAATTCTAGAAGCTGCAAGCTAATCTATACTGTTGTCAGCAAGTAAATCCATGCTTGTCTGGATATGGGAATGCAGAGGGGACTGGGGAGCAAAGGAGGATGAGAAAAAGTTAAGGGCAACAGCAATATATGTTGCCCAGGAGGTGGTGAGAGTTTTGGGTGGTGTGCATGTGTCAAAACTGACTAGATGATACACTTCAAATAGGAGCAGTTAATTATATATCAATTAAATCGTGAAAAAAAAGACACATTTGTTAGATAATTTAAAAGGTACTGAAAAATACAATAAAGAAAACAAGTACTTATGCCCTTTGACTCAGCATGCCCACTTTTGGGAATTTATACTCAAACCAAAAAGCACCTTAGGCCCTTAAAAACGTATTCAAAAACATGTATCACAATATCGCTGAAGCAATATTGAAGCAAAAACAGAGACAACTTAATATGCCTCAGAAAGGGAACAGATCGGTAAATCATCAAGAACTGCTACAGGATGAGGATCCCTTATCTGAAAGTTTTGGAGAAAGAAGTGTTTTAGATTTTGGATTCTTTTTGGATTTTGGAATAGTTGTATGTACACAATGAGTTATCTTGGGAGCGGAACCCTAGCCTAAACACAGTATTTAAGTCTCATTTATGCCTTATACACATACCCTAAAGGTAATTATATCAATATTTTAAATAATTTTGTGCACGAAACAAAGTTGGTGTTAAGTACTTATGGTGAAATTTTCCACTTGTGGTGTTGTGTCAGTGCTCAAAAGTTTCAGACTTTGGAGCATTTCAGATTTCAGATTTTTGGATTAGGAATACCTAGACTATATGTATCCATTAAAAGGATGAATTTAATGACTGGGAAGGATGTTTATGTTGTATGTTTCAGTGAGTAAAACAAAATGCAAATTACCACCTATGCTATAATGGGCTGATACTAGGATGGACAAACAGATGGTGAGCCCATAGATGTGTGGATGGATCTCTCCTACACGTGCACCTCCCTGTGTGAACACAGAGACAGATGGAGATGGCTAGGCATTCAATGCTGATCATTTGTTACTAAAGAAGGCTTGATTTTAAAAGCTTTGGGAAAAGGTTGTTTGCACATTTCTTCAAAAATGAGTCTGTTTTACTCCTCTGATTTAAGAAAAAAGTAAAATGAACATATATTAAAATGAATAAAAAGTCAAGGTTCAATTTACTTTGAAATGCATTAAAGAATGTGTTGGCTTGCAGGGTAGAGGAGGCTGGAGAGGCAGAGATGAGATGAGAAAGGGGTAATAAATTATCAGTAGTAGAATCTAGGGAGGCGGGTGTTAAACTAAGATGGCTCTAACACACTGAGTTCCTACAAGAGCAAATTGAAACCTAATTCAGACTCATTTTCTGTAAGCAGTTAATTTAAAAGAAACAGAAGCTTAAGTCCAGCCAATCACAGATGGCCCACTGGACATCAGGTACATGGTCTGGAACTTTCCACCAGGATGTTCCAAATCATGCAAGGGCCTGAATGCTAACCAACCCAAGCATCTGTAATATTTACCCCACTTCTGCCTTCACCCTGCAGAAGCCTCGCCTTGTGCTCCCTTGCAGAGCCCCAAACCACCTCTTGTGGGAGCTATCAAATTCATGAATCGCTGTCTGCTCAGATAAGCGCTTTCAAATGTTAACAAGTCAAAGCATTTCTTTAAATGATAGTATGTAGATATCAGCTGTACCACTTGAACATTTCCCTTGTAAAACGTTGAGGGGAAAACTAACATAAAACGACAGGCAGACAGACGAGGGCTTTGGGCACTGAAAAGACGACATCTGTGATGCGATAGGCAAGGCGGTCCTTCCTGGACGGCCCAGCTCCGCACGCTGCAGCAGCCCTGCAGTGTCATTGTCCCCCTCTTAACCTGTGCTGTGGGTGCTGCAGGGCTGGGCTCTGGAGGCTGGGTCTGGGCATTTCTCCCTAGATACGTAGAGGCCCAGGAAAAGTTTGGAGCCTAAGAAGCCCTAGGACTCCAGGTCCCCAGGGCAGCCCCAGCCTCTTGGAATGATTTTCCCCAATACCACAGGAGCATTAGAATCCAAGGCAGAGCCAAGCGGCCCCTCACCAACTCCCACGTCCTCAACTTCCTTTCATAACCTCTAGGACAGTAACACCTCCAGCAATACTGAGCCTTTTCCCCTTATTCTGTTTGCCCTTTTGAAGAAGGCGAGGCTCTGAGCAGTCAAGTCACTTAATCACGGTCTCATGTCACCTGATCAAGGTCTCATGTCACCTCATCAAGGTCTCACCCACTTACCTACTCAGTTTTCACCAGTTCAGCTCAGGGTGGCTTCTAAGCTACCCTCCACAGCTCTGCCCACAGGATGATTCCTATAAGTGAGGGTGTGCCGGACCTTCCAGTCCCCTTCCAACTCCAAAACTCAGCCCCCAAGATCAAGTGTACTCTCTAAACCCACCCTGGGCCTACAGTTGTCAGGGCCTCGATGGGAAGATGTAGAGCTCCTGGCTTTCACTCTAGGGACTTGCCCAGAACATACTCTCTGCATGAGCTAAGGAGGCCGGCTGCCATCTGCTTACATCCCCGCACTACCTGGGGGCAAGGAAACCCTGGCCTCTAGAGATTGGAGAACTTGAAGGACAGAACTTGCCCTTCCATCTGCATGGGAAGCACTGCCTCTCTACCCATGCCCCATCCAACTCAGGCACCCCAGGGACTGGCAGCAGACTGATTTTTCTCATGTCTCTCCTAAGGCTCCGGGCTAGCCACACAAATCAAGTCCCAGTGACAGGTCCAAACATCCTATCCTGAAACTACATCTTAGTAAGACTCCAGGGGATCTTTTCCCCAAAGACAGTCCTATTCCTGCTCTACCCCCAGCCCTTTCTGGGCCAGAAGCTCTGCCTGGACTCAAGCAATGGCAGACAAGTGCCTGCTGAGGACACGGAAGTACATGCTCAGAACTGTGATTCCCCAAGCGGAAGCAGAAGAGAAGGCCCAGCCTTCCCAGCAGGCCTAAGGATATACAGGAGTGCATTCATCAGGAGCTGATGGCGGCACCCCAGCCCTGCCCCATTCTCATAGTAAATCAGGCTCAATTCCATTGGCTGTGTACGGTGGAGTGATGTGACCATATGTCACTTGAGCATTACACAAATCCTAATGAGCTAAAAATATGTTTGTTTTAGCTAATTGACCTGTTTGGCCTTCATAAAGCAGTTGGTAAACATCCTCAGATAATGATTTCTAAAGAGCGGATTGTGGGTCTCAGCTGTGCAGAGAAAGCCCACGTCCCTGAGACCACCTTCTCCAGCTGCCTGCTGAGGCATACAGGGGTATCTGCCTGCTGCCCACTCTGCCAAGGCGGCGTTGCTGGAGCCAGCTTGGGACAGCTCTCCCGACGCTCTGCCCTGGCCTTGTGACCACTGTCTGGGCCTTGGTTGTCTATCTGCTAAGTGAGGGAAGTGCCTATCTACAGAGACATTCAGAGGCAAAGCGGGGCTTCCAAGTTCCCACCCCACAGCAGAAATTCTTGGATTTCTACAGCCAGTCAGGTGCAAGCAGCACCCACATTATTTCTATGAGAAATGGCAGGAGCTGGGATCTGAAGGGTCCAGCAGTCCACTGTGCTCCATGCAGACGAGAGAAATGATTGAGATTCCATTTAAAGCCTGGGACCACAGAGACCCAAGACTTCCTGCTTGGTTCTCCCTGCAAACTGCAGGCTGTGGGCTGAGACCTCAAGAAGGAGGAGTCCCCTTTAGCCATTAACTCTCAGAGCTAACCTCATCTGAGTGGGAACACTAGTCCCGTGATGTCCGGAAGGTGGGCACCTCTATACTCCACATGTACATGGTGGTCCAGACATATCATTCCTGGCATTAGAAAGCTGTAGGGGGACCCATCCTTTCCCTGGAGGCATTAATAGGACACAGAAATAAATCTCAAGCCCTGAGGCTGATGCCAGCCTCAGACTCAGCCTCTGCACTGTATGGGCCAACTGCAGCCCCAAGGACTTCCTGCTGCCCCTGCATCTTCCCCTCCTAAAACAATGGCCTTATATTAGTTACAGAACTCTCAGGCTCCTTTTTCGAGCTAGGGAACAGAGATAACATCCAATGCAGAGAACTTACCAGTAATGAGTGCTTCCTATTTGCTGTGAACTGGGACATGCTTTACACGTATTTCCTCATTTAATCTACACATTAAGTAATTAAGATACTTCCCTGAGGCCACAGGAGAGAGAGTGGTAGAACCAGTCCTCCAAGGTGGACTTGTGGGTTAATAACTGGACTTTGCAAGGCACTGATGGAAACTATCAGCTTGTAAAGGATGGAGCACAGTGCCTGGAATGAGGCAGGAATTCAAAACAATGGCAGTTATTAATATGTGATATGCAGACGCAGCACAGCAAGATAAGATGAAATATACCTTCTGGGTCAAACCACCCCGGCCACGCCTCCCCGGTACCCAGGGTTGATGTGCTTGAATTAGACAGGATTAAAGGCTTACTAGAGCTGGAAGCCTTGCCCCCAACTCAGGAGTTTAGCCCCAGACCTTCTGTCCACCAGCTGAGAAGGACAAGGGCGGAAGGCAGCTGCACAGAGCGGGGCCACAGCCTTGCACACAGTTCAGGGAGATTTGTGCAGGAGCCGGACCTCCCCCTGGGTCCCCATGATGAGAGAATGGGTTCTGCTTTTGTCCACGCTGCTCTGTGGCCTGGCTGGCCCCACACACCTGTTCCAGCCAAGCCTGGTGCTGGACATGGCCAAGGTCCTCTTGGATAACTACTGCTTCCCAGAGAACCTGGTGGGCATGCAAGAAGCGATCCAGCAGGCCATTAAGAGCGACGAGATTCTCAGCATCTCAGACCCACAGACGCTGGCCAGTGTGCTGACAGCCGGGGTGCAGAACTCCCTGAACGACCCTCGCCTGGTCATCTCCTATGAGCCCAGCACCCCCGAACCTCCTCCACAAGTCCCAGCACTCTCCAGCCTCTCAGAAGAGGAACTGCTAGCCTGGCTGCAAAGGGGCCTCCGCCATGAGGTTCTGGAGGGTAATGTGGGCTACCTGCGGGTGGACAGCGTCCCCGGCCAGGAGGTACTGAGCATGATGGGGGAGTTCCTGGTGGCCCACGTCTGGGGGAAGCTGATGAGCACAGATGCCCTAGTGCTGGATCTCCGGCACTGCGTGGGCGGTCAGGTCTCCGGCATTCCCTACATCATCTCCTACCTGCACTCAGGGGACACCGTCCTGCATGTGGACACGATCTACAACCGCCCTTCCAACACCACCACAGAGATCTGGACCTTGCCCCAGGTCCTGGGAGAAAGGTATGGTGCAGACAAAGATGTGGTGGTCCTCACCAGCAGTCACACCAGGGGCGTGGCTGAGGACATCGCGCACATCCTCAAGCAGATGCGCAGGGCAATCGTGGTGGGCGAGCGGACTGTTGGGGGCGCCCTGGACCTCCAGAAGCTGAGGATAGGTGAGTCTGACTTCTTCTTCACTGTGCCCGTGTCCAGGTCCCTGGGACCCCTGGGCGGAGGCAGCCAGACGTGGGAGGGCAGCGGGGTGCTGCCTTGTGTGGGGACGCCGGCCGAGCAGGCCCTGGAGAAAGCCCTGGCCATCCTCACTCTGCGCAGTGCCCTTCCAGGGGTGGTCCACTGCCTCCAGCAGGCACTGAAGGACTATTACACACTGGTGGACCGCGTGCCCACCCTGCTACAGCACCTGGCCAGCATGGACTTATCCACGGTGGTCTCTGAGGAAGATCTGATCACCAAGCTCAATGCCGGCCTGCAGGCTGCATCCGAGGATCCCAGGCTCCTGGTGCGAGCCATTGGGCCCAGAGAAACCCCTTCTGGGCCCGAAGCTGCAGCTGAAGACCCACCAGGGGCAGCCCCAGAGTTGCCTGAGGACGAGGCTATCCGGGAAGCACTGGTGAACTCCGTGTTCCAGGTGTCGGTGCTGCCGGGCAATGTGGGCTACCTGCGCTTCGACAGTTTTGCTGATGCCTCCGTGCTGGGGGTGTTGGCCCCATATGTCCTGCGCCAGGTGTGGGAGCCGCTGCAGGACACGGAGCACCTCATCATGGACCTGCGCCACAACCCCGGAGGGCCATCCTCGGCTGTGCCTCTGCTCCTCTCCTACTTCCAGGGCCCTGAGGCCGGTCCCGTGCACCTCTTCACCACCTACGATCGCCGCACCAATGTCACACAGGAGCACTTCAGCCACGTGGAACTGCCGGGCCCACGCTACAGCATCCAGCGTGGGGTGTACCTGCTCACCAGCCACCGCACAGCCACGGCCGCAGAGGAGTTCGCCTTCCTCATGCAGTCGCTGGGCTGGGCCACGTTGGTGGGTGAGATCACCGCGGGCAACCTGCTGCACACCCGCACGGTGCCGCTGCTAGACACACCTGAGGGCAGCCTCATGCTCACCGTGCCGGTGCTCACCTTCATCGACAATCACGGTGAGGCGTGGCTGGGTGGTGGAGTGGTGCCTGATGCCATCGTGCTGGCCGAGGAGGCCCTGGACAAAGCCCAGGAAGTGCTGGAGTTCCACCAGAGCCTGGGGGCCTTGGTGGAGGGCACGGGGCACCTGCTGGAGGCCCACTACAGTCAGCCAGAGGTCGTGGGGCAGACGACTGCCCTGCTGCAAGCCAAGCTGGCCCAGGGCGCCTACCGCACAGCTGTCGACTTGGAGTCTCTGGCCTCCCAGCTCACGGCGGACCTGCAGGAGGTGTCTGGGGACCACCGCCTGCTAGTGTTCCACAGCCCTGATGAGCTGGTGGTAGAAGAGGCACCCCCACCACCCCCTGCTGTCCCCTCGCCAGAAGAGCTCACTTATCTTATTGAGGCCCTGTTCAAGACAGAAGTGCTGCCCGGCCAGCTGGGCTACCTGCGTTTTGATGCCATGGCTGAACTGGAGACAGTGAAGGCCGTCGGGCCACAGCTGGTGCGGCTGGTGTGGCAGCAGCTGGTAGACACGGCTGCGCTGGTGGTGGACCTGCGCTACAACCCTGGCAGCTACTCCACAGCCATCCCGCTGCTCTGCTCCTACTTCTTTGAGGCAGAGCCTCGCCGGCACCTGTATTCTGTCTTTGACAGGGCCACCTCGAAGGTCATGGAGGTGTGGACCCTGCCCCAGGTCGCTGGCCAGCGTTATGGCTCACACAAGGACCTCTACATCCTGATGAGCCACACCAGTGGCTCTGCGGCTGAGGCTTTTGCACACACCATGCAGGACCTGCAGCGGGCCACGGTCATTGGGGAGCCCACAGCTGGAGGGGCACTCTCTGTGGGCATCTACCAGGTGGGCAGCAGCCCCTTATATGCATCCATGCCCACCCAGATGGCCCTGAGTTCCACCACGGGCAAAGCCTGGGACCTGGCTGGTGTGGAGCCTGACATCACTGTGCCCATGAGCGAAGCCCTTTCCACAGCCCAGGACATAGTGGCTCTGCGTGCCAAGGTGCCCACGGTGCTGCAGACAGCTGGGAAGCTGGTGGCCGATAACTACGCCTCCCCGGAGCTGGGGGCCAAGGTGGCTGCCGAACTGAGTGGTCTGCAGAGCCGCTACTCCAGGGTGACCTCAGAAGTGGCCCTGGCCGAGATCCTGGGGGCTGACCTGCAGATGCTCTCTGGAGACCCACACCTGAAGGCAGCCCATATCCCTGAGAATGCCAAGGACCGCATTCCTGGAATTGTGCCCATGCAGGTGAGACCCAAGGGAGACCTGGCTGAGCCCAGTCCCGGGAGTGAGTTGACCCGTCGTTTGCACATGCAGGGCTCTGTGCACAGTGCATGACAATGGCTTTTAGATTTGTTCTCATGTTTAACTTTTGGCCAGTTGAGTCCTTTCCTCTTTCTCACCCTGTTCCATCCACTCTCTGGGACCCTGGTGCTGCTGTAGAACCTCCGTAGAACATTCATGTTAGGTTGGTGTGAAAGTACTTTCAATGGCAAAACCCACAATTACTTTTGCATCAACCTCACGGGAAGCCAGTTTGAAAGCCAAGCAATACTCACAGGAAGCCAGTTTGGAAGCCCCTGGGATAGACGGAGTTTCAGCCTTGGCTGGGTGGAAGGCGAGCGTTGGCGGGACTTCTCATCGTCAGTGTGGGTAAGAGGCCAACACATGGCAGAGGCGGCCGTGGGCCTCACCGCGTGCCCCACCGCAGGCTGAGAGCTCCGCCCAGGCAGCACTCACTCCACGCTGCTCTCCTACCTGTGGCTTTGCTGCATTGTCACAGTTGGGCAGGGCAGCATGTGTCATGAATCCCTTGCAAGGAGGGTCTGAGACCAGGGTTGGGTGCAGGCAGTTTGTCTGGGAGGTGGTTGCTGAAGCAGGTGTGAAGGAGGGCGCGGGGAGAGTGAGATAGGAAGGTGACAGGCAGGTCCCTCAAAGCTGTTCTGCTGAAGCCAGGACGCTGACAAGTGTGGGGATGCTCCCAGGCACAGCCCTCTGCAGGCAGGCCCCAGGGCTCCTGTCCCGCATTGGCCAAGAATTGCCCTGAGGACATAACTCGGGGTGGGGCAGGCTCCCCTCTCTTGAAGAAGGCCTGAGCTGAGGGTGGAAAGGCAGGATGGTGCTGTGGGAGAGCCTGTCAGTGGGGCCAGGTGCAGCTGAAATCAGAGGGGGCTGAGAGTGCCAACAGCAACTGCTACAGAATTCTCATCCCCATTTTGCGTAACTGAGACTTGGAGAGGTGCAGAGGGCAGTGGCCTGGAGCTGAGAGCTGTGACTGAAGGCAGGGCAGGGCCTGGAGGGCAGTGTCTTTGTCAGCACAGCCTCCTTGCCCCAGTCCAGCTCGCCAAGTCCTGCCACCCTCCCGCAGCCTTAGAGAGGGAGGAGGAGGTGCATCCCCGTGGAAGTAGCCTGTGCTAGGCTTTCAGAATCCCCAGTTTCCAAATTAATTGCTCCTTCCTTTCTGGTGTAGCCAAGGTTCACAATTTGGAGTCAGATGTGGATTTAGATTCTGGCTCCACCACTTATTGACTGTGTAACCTGGGACTAGTTACTTATCTCACTGTGCTTCAGTTTTTCCATGGAAAAGATGGGGATCATGTTATCTTCTGTACAGGTGGCTGTGAGGATGGTGATAAACGCTACAAAGTGCTTAGTACAGGGCCAGGCACGTGTTAAAGGTAACTAACGTCTTCCAATCCTGCCCCGGTGGAGGTGAAGATGAGCTTAGAGACTTTGGGAAGTATCTGGCGAGGTTGGAGGAATCAGAGAGGAGACCATTCCTGGGCCTTCCAGCTCTGAACACCAGAGCAGACAGGAGCACCCTCTGCAAGGAGGCTTCCCATGGATCACACATGTCCCGGTGGCATATCACATCCCAGACATGCCACTGGGAAAGTCCTGGGTGCCTACTGACTCCTTCAGAAATGTCAGTTCCTGTCCCATGCCCTTATGTCATATTTCCCATGACATAAAGGCAATCCGTGGCACCTGCTTTCCTGGGCTCTAAAACCACCTGCCCTCCTGACACTGAGCAGGACCTCCAAATCTTACAGATCCCTTCCCCTGAAGTCTTTGAAGAGCTGATCAAGTTTTCCTTCCACACCAACGTGCTTGAGGACAACATCGGCTACTTGAGGTTCGACATGTTTGGGGACGGTGAGCTGCTCACCCAGGTCTCCACGCTGTTGGTGGAGCATATCTGGAAGAAGATCATGCACACGGATGCCATGATCCTCGACATGAGGTCAGTGGCCAGGGCTCGCTGCTTCCCAGCCATGCCACAGGACCACCAGGGGGCGATCAAAGCTATGGGCCACTGCAGGGAACAATAACACGGCAGAGCACCTGAGGGAGCCGGCCTCCTGCCTATCAGGGCTCCAGCCAGCTAGCGCAGGGGTTCTGGTTTCATTGCAGGTGGGTCCCAGCACTAGTAGTTTTTGCAAGCTTCTCCAATGATTCCAAGGGGCATTCCAGGTTGAGAACTGCCCCCAGATTTGTGTGGTCATAGGACTCAGTGGGGATGAGAGGAAGGAGATATTAAAAACACTGATTCCTGGGCCCCACTCCACCCTTACTGAGTCAGAAACTCCAGTGAACAGGCCCAATAATCTGTATTTGACAGGCATCCCAGGTGATTCTGACGGTCAGTGGCTTGTGGGACAGCCAGGTCCCCCACCTGGGAGTGCACCTCACATCATACAAATTCAACTCATGACAACCCCAGTCACATGAATCGTACAGGCAGAATTTGGAAATCACACAGGGAGAATTTGGAAATTAATCACTACTGTGATCAAAAGAATTCTTTGCATCACCAAATGATTGTCGGAAGGATGTCTTCAGCTAGCCACGTCCCCTTTGTTTCTGTAAAAATGTGCCTCATATGTCATGAGTTCACATCATAGACCAGGGGTAGGAGGTGGATGAACACCCTCAGGCAGTGGCCAGGCCCAGCATCCTGTAACTCCAGGGTCCATTGGTGGCCATGCCCTGGCACCCTCTATAAGCAGGCTGCCTCCCTTAGACAGGACAGCCCCACTCTCCCCTGTTGTCTGAAAGAAGTGACAGAAAGTGGCAGGGCAGAGGCATTCCCCCAGTTCTAGTCCCCTGGCCCTCAGAGCTCACTCACATGCTTCTAAGCAGTCGCTAGGTGGCTCTCGGTCCTTCACAGGCTGCTTCTCCTCCCTGGGAGATAAAACAGTCGCCCTGGCTCCGGTTTTGTGTGTGTTCACAGCCTGAGCTTGAGGCTCCTGTGGTCTCTCTGATCATTTTATTCTTTAGAAGTTCTGTTGAGCACCCAAATGATACTCATGCTAAGTCCCTTTCTTCTGAATATGCCGTTTACACTTTTTAAAGAGGAGATGGCCCCAGCCTGCAAGCGCCGTTGCTTAAAGACCCTTCCACCCCTGAGGTTTGTTTGGAGGTTCAGACACTGACATCACAGACCCCGAACCCAGCCACGCCATCCCAGACCATCAACCGGACGAGGCTCTTTGCCATATCACTAGCCCAGTGGGGAGATAAGGGCCCGATGAGGCCACACAGTGGGACAAATCTAAATGGCCTGGGCTTCCTTACTCCCAATGCAGTTCCACAAGTCTGAAGACTTCAACACACTAAGTGCCCTGTTAAGACACCTGAACTAAGACAGCTGGTAGGTGTCATAAAACTGTCACAGAATGCAACTAGGAAGAACAATGTTTCCCAAAATGTGTTCCACTCATAGGCAGACATGGGTGCAGGGGAGCAGTCCATGGTCAATAAATGGGGAAAGTTTATTTTCTGACCACAGGACTTGTTAGGGCCTTTAATATATTAACATATATTAATTATATAGCAGAAGGAAAGGATATGGTATTCTGTATTTTCTAAACATATTTGAAAACATATTCCAAGAGGCTAGAACTCTTGGAAATACTCTGGAAAATGCCAACCTGCGGAATTCTTCTTCCAAGAATTAGAACCCTCCATGGGACAAATATCCCGGTCTCCCCAAGGGGCACAGAGAGCCTCACTGTGAGCTCAGCCCCTGAAAAGCCTCCACTTCCCGTCCCTCAGGTTCAACATCGGTGGCCCCACATCCTCCATCCCCATCTTGTGCTCCTACTTCTTTGACGAAGGCCCTCCAGTTCTGCTGGACAAGATCTACAGCCGGCCTGATGACTCCGTCAATGAACTCTGGACACACGCCCAGGTCGTAGGTATGTGGAGAAGCCTTCCCTTTCCTGCCATCATTCTAGAAGCTTCTGGGAAACCAGGGAAAGATAGCTTGGGTGTAGGTAAAAGTCATAGTAACTGGAATGTAAGGCTTTGTGCTAGTCCAAGCACTAGATGCTCATGATCCTGAATCCCTGCAAAGCATGTATCACTACCCACGTTTTCTAGAGGGAAAAAAAAAGTGAGGATTGACTAGGTCAAGTATCTTTTCTAGGGTCACACAGCTAATAAGTGGAAGCCAAAATGTGAATATTAGCTTGTTTAATACCAACATTTCCCCCAGTCTTAGCACCAAAATCACCAGTCTGCAGGACAAATGCATAACTTGAAGGATTCTCCTCGCCCCTCACCAAACCCAGCAGGCACTTCCTGTGCTCACCATACTTGAACTCTCAGCTGCAGTGCCACACACTTACCTGGAAAGGTCCTGATGCCGATGGGGCTTCTGTTCCCTGCCGTGGGCCCACAGCAGTGGCTACAGGGGCAAAGTTGGCCCTGAGCTTTACAGAACCGTGACTCTCAAAGCCTGATTCCAGGGTGGATGGCCTCCATCTATCTTCCCTGCCCAGTGTGCAGAACCGAGGAACCTGTGCTCCTATCCAACAAGAAAGGACTGGAGAGACCAATGGGGGTGTGCCTATGACCAGAGGAACAGCTCACCATTTTCACGTCCATGCTTCTGAAATGCACAGGCATTTTGCTGTAGCTTCTAGGACATACATACGATAATATTACAAAATGTAAATACAAATCAGAACCAGGTGAATTTTAAATTCAAATCAATCTTCAAGACTGGAAGTTAAAGATAGACTCAGTTATATAGACCGTGAGGTCCCAGAACTACGAGGTCCAAAATGAGAGCCACAAGCCACCTGCAGTCACCAAACATTTGAAATGTGACTCTCCCAAGTTGAGATGTGTTAGAGGTGTAAAGAGCATTCCAGATTTTGAAGACGTTATGGAAAAAAGAAAAGAAAATGCCTCATTCATATTTTATTTGATTACATTTTGAAATAAATGTATTTTGGATACATTGGCTTAAACAAAACATGATTAAAATTAATGCCACGGGTTCCTTTTGCTTGCTTAACATGGCTGCTAGGGAACCTAAAATGACATCTATGGCCAGCATCCTGGCTCACTTTACATTCCTATTGGATGGCACTGTCCTGGAGGGTTGTTCTTATGACATCACAAATTGGGCTTTTCTGAGTCCAGCATAATGAGGAGGTCCGGTCAGTTTAGGTGTTCTCATTATTCATGAAGAGAGAGCACATGGCTTCCTAGTCCGGACATTATGCGCATGATCCTGAATCTCTGCAAAGCATGTGTCACTATGCCCATTTTCCAGGGGGGAAAAAAAAGGGGGGATTGACTAGGTCAAGTATTTACTAGATCAAGCCTTTCCTATTACCTGGCGTAAAAGAGCCATCATTGGGAGTTGTCAAGCACTGAAATCCTTGAGACTGGGCATGCATTCTTGTTCCCATGTTACGGATGCAGAAATCAAGGCTCAGAGGAGCCAAGTGGCTCGCAAGTAGACACAAGGACACAGACCTAAAGCCCAGGGCCTCCTCCCTCACTGCAGGTCCAGGCAGGATAGAAAAGTCAGGTGCTCCAGGGTCCTGGCCCGATCCCCATCCTGAAGGACCTTCTGTCTTCCAGGTGAACGCTATGGCTCCAAGAAGAGCATGGTCATTCTGACCAGCAGTGTGACGGCTGGCACGGCGGAGGAGTTCACCTACATCATGAAGAGGCTGGGCCGGGCTCTGGTCATCGGGGAGGTGACCAGCGGGGGCTGCCAGCCACCGCAGACCTACCACGTGGATGACACCAACCTCTACCTCACTATCCCCACTGCCCGTTCTGTTGGGGCCTCAGATGGCAGCTCCTGGGAAGGGGTGGGGGTGACACCCCATGTGGTTGTCCCTGCAGAAGAAGCTCTCGCCAAGGCCAAGGAGCTGCTCCAGCAAAACCAGCTGAGAGCTAAGCGGAGCCCAGGCCTGCAGAGCCACCTGTAGAGAGGGGCCCCATAGGCAGAGCCCCAGGGCAGACAGAGCCTCTGGGCCACACACCAAGGGCACTCCCGAAGATGGCTTGGCCTGAGGTTCCCAGGGCAGCAAAGGGGCCTGCTGAGCTCGGTTACGCTAGAGCTGGAGGTACACACACACACACACACACACGTATATACACGTATATATGTGTATGTATATATACCTATATATATATGCCTTTCCAATAACCCGCTAAGTTTTAACAAAGGTTCCTTCTAAGTGGTAGAATTTGGGTTGATATTTTTACCTTTCTTCTTTATACAATGTGCATATATTATTATTTTCAGATGCAGCTGTCATTATTCCAAAATATAAAATAAAGATGATAAAACAAATTACATAACTGAGCCATTACCCATAACTTCGTGATCACTCGTGGTTGTTAAATTTCCTTTTTCCATGGGTTTTTCTTTCACATCATTTGGGTCTTCCGGATCTACCCTGCTGGCTTCTATGGACCACTGATCTTGTTTGAGATGTGGTGCTAGATGCTATGGGATCAGCAGGTAGCAAAGATCCGTGGGTCTTAAATAGGGAAAGGACTGGCGCAGCCCTTCTGCTGGTGATGTACATCCACTGGCTGTGTCTCTTCTGAGCCTCACGCCAGGTGCATGACCAGCCACTCTCATCTTCTACTCAGGAGCCAGCTGAGACGCAGGCAAGCTCTGCAGCTCACCCAGGGTCACACATCCAGCACAGTGGACCTGTGTTCTCCTTTGGGCCACCCAGATTTGCAGCACCTTTGGATGTTCAGAGAATCACTGCCCGTAGGAATCGGTAGGAAACAGGGATGGCAGCCCTGCCTGGGTGGGAAATCAGCCCAGCCACTTCCCAGCTAAGTGGTTCTGAGCAATTTGCTTCACCTCTCTGGGCCTCAGTTTCTTCATCTGTTTAATGGGAGAAATAATACTGCACTTGGGGTTGTAAGAATGAAGTGAATTAATCCAGTGCCCAGCCAATGTTAGCTGTCATAATTTCCCTACCACAAAGCTGAACACCCTGGAAGCCCACTTTTCCAGCCCTTCTGGCAGTAGGGCATGGGTATGTGGCCCTGCCTTGGTCACCCAGAGGCTCCTGTGCGAGACGTTTAGTCTGAAGCAAGTGGCCAGGGAGCCTGGGCAATGGCCGTCTCCTAGAAACCTAGTGTCCAGGGACAGCACAGCCGTGCCCTGTGCTTGGCAGGGACAGCAGCAGCATCCTCAAGAGGTGCTCCTGGGCTTCCTAGTATGACTTTGGCTGTGGTCCTGACAGAGTGACCCATTGTCCCTACCCACTGCCCAGCCAAGTCCCCCAGCCCACCCACCCAGGACTAGGCACGGCTCCTTCATGACATCCCTGCCTGCTTCCATCCACCAAAGACTTCATTGCTCTTTCATGAACAGCACAGTCTGGTGTAGCTGGTTAAAGGGTAGGTGGAATCTGGACCCATCTCTGTCCAGTTCCAAAGATCCTTCTGTTTCCACCATATCATGAAGAGGCGCTGGGCCTGATCTGGAAAGGGGGTTTGAGACAGAGAGGAGCGGAAGTCCTCTGCATAGCAAAGCACAGGCTCAGCCTTCCTAAATGCAACCCTTCCTGCACTGTTACCTGCTTGCAGGCACAAGACTGGAGAAAAAGAAAAAGGAAAACAAAATCCTATCAGCCCTCTTTTCTGGTGGGAGACGCAGATGGCTGACAGCTGCCTAGAAGTCTCTGTTTAGATGAGCCCTGGACCCCTTCAACTCTCTATGCCCTGGTCTAGGCTCGTGGTCTGCACCCTGCCCAACCCTGCTTGCCACCAGCTCACATCTTGCACACAGCCACAGCTCCCTCCACTCAGACTCCCTCCTTTCTGCCCCCCACACCTCTCACCCAGTGTCTACCAGTGGTCAGTACCCAAGGTAAATTGATACCTGAGTTAACATCACTCTGCTCTGCACCCAGCCTGCCATCTTCTTTCCCTCATCTTAGGGTTCCAGCTTTGTGCCTACATCTCTGACACAGCCTCCTGCCCCATCTCTGTGCCCTGGCCTGCAGCTAGGGGATCATCTTCACTGGAAGGGCATTGTTAGGTGATGGAGACACTTCTGGAAGGTCATATTTATCTGTCCTTCTTGCAGATGTGGTGGAGAGGTAAGTCACCCAGGACCAAGCAGGGGTTGGCATCCAGGGGTGCTGGAGTGCTCCCACAAGTCAGCTGAGCCCTGCTGTGACAGCATGTGTAACAAATGGATTATAAAGGCCCTGGCAGGGACTCAAAGCTGGCTCTCTGGGGCAAGACAGGCTTAGGAGCTTCCCTATTGTTCACCATCAAAGCCCAGGTCACACTCTGGGCAGCCAAGCCACAGGGTCATTGGGTGGAGAAAGGAACTCAAGGTATACTGGGCCCATCTCTTCCTGCCTTTCTGTCCCCTCCAGGAGCAGATCTTGAGGTTGCCAGGTCAGCCACAGGGCAAGTGGTGGAAACAGAGCAGTCTCAGACCTGTTCCCCAGCACCAGAGAAGACCTGTGGACCAGATCTTAGAGCAGGGGTAGGGCATGGGCACAGTCCACTCAAGGTCATCTTTGCAGTCTTGCCAGAAACTGACAGCACAGAGCTGCAGGGCAGGATGGGGGTGGTGACTCTTGGTGCTGGGGGCTCATGTCCAGGTGCTCTTGGTCAGCAACAAGCCATGCCTCTGCCAGGCTCTGTAAGGACAGGAAGGAAAAGGTGACCTTCACCTCCAAGTCCTTGCTGGAGAAGTGCTGACCCCCTCCAGGGAAAGAAGGACCAGGGAGTGCTGTAGTGATATGCTTCATCCAGAGGGAATGCGAAGGGACCAGGTGGGGACCCCTGCAGGCCTCCTGCTTTCAGGCTGGGCTGAAGCACTGTGGAAGGAGCCCATCTCTTCTTCTCGCTCACCCTCCTCTTCCTGCACCCCTGCGTCTGCCCTGCACAGGCCCACACAGTAGATGGCTCTGACTGTGCCAGAGGAACCTGGCTACCCACACAGCTGTGATGCAGTGAGACTATGTGGCTCAGAAAAAAAAGCAATGAAGCCAGGTCACACACTGGGCCAGGAAACCCACCTCCAAGGTCCCCGCCCAGGGGCACCAACCTCCCACCTCCTGCTCCCTCTGGGATTTAGCTGCCGCCTGGCCTAGGCACCCTCTCTGCTTTGCTGACCAGAGCAGCTGGCACTACAAATAGCCTCGTAATCCAAGCAGCTTAGAATAGCAATGGGGTCAGACAACACAGACTTCCTCCGTCTTGCCTCAGGAAAACACGAGATGGCAAGATGGATGGAAAGAAAATGTTAGAGAACCCATCCCGTCCTTCCTGCAGGCACTGCCCCCCCAACCCCCTTTCAAAACCGATTTCTGGGCCGGGCATAGTGGCTCATGCCTGTAATCCCAGCACTTTGGGAGGCTGAGGTGAGCAGATCACCTGAGGTCAGGAGTTCAAAAGCAGCCTGGCCAACGTGGTGAAATCCCATCTCTGCAAAAATATAAAAATTAGCTGAGTGTGATGCCGGGTGCCTGTAATCCCAGCTACTTGGAAGGCTGAGGCAAGAGAATCACTTGAAACAGGGAGTCTGAAGTTGCAGTCAGCTGAGATCGTGCCATTGCACTCTAGCCTGGGCAACAGAACAAGACTCTGTCTCAAAAAAAAAAAAAAAAAAAAAAAAAATAAAAAAACAAAACAAAAGGTTTCTCAAACTTTTAGGGAGGGTCCCAAACCCAACACATGCTAGAGAGCGGTTTATTTTTCAAATAAAGTGTTTGTTCTGTGAGTTTCTGATCTGGCTATGCAGTCTGTAGACCTACCACAGGACTTCTAAAACCACAACAAAATTAAGCAAATGACAAAGGTATGTGAATCCTTCTCTGAAGGGCGGTGGCCTGCCGAGTCCAGATGGCGCCATCACTTTCCAAGGGAATGAGGATGCAAGCCTGGCCTGGGGGCTACTCTGGCCGACTTTCACCCCTGGAAAGGGCTCTCTCTCCAGGCTCACAGGAACAAGGTGGTAAGGCTGAGGTTACACACGCCAGGCCCAGCACTGGCCTGTTCCAAAGCTGGGAGCGCAGAAGAGTTAGGGATCACCAGCTGGTGGCATCCCTGCACCATTGCCACCACTGACATGCTGCCATGAATCCCTGCCACTGAGGCCATCCATCAGTGTTTACAAAACCAGAGTCAGCTGACAACGAATTTCATATAAAGACCTGAACTCTGGCCTTTCTCGAGGCCTGCACCCAGCCTGGCTGCGCAGTCTTCACCCAGGCACCTGAGCTCCCCACCATCACCACTTCCAGGCAGCTCCAGCCACTCATTCGCCTTCTTCAGTAGGCATCTGAGCTTAGCATCCCTCGCCTAGAGATGCAGGAAATGGCAAGAAGTTGGATTCTAGGAGCCCACTTTTGTTGTGGTTTTATTTCTCTCCCAGGTAAAACCAGAAAGAAAACTTGACCTTTGTTAAAATTGAGAACCAAAATGAATCTGAATTCAGAATGTCTTAGTTTAGCCTCATTAGCATATTGGTGGAGGACTTTTGTAAATCTGAACTGAATGGCTGCCGCTGGGAGGTAATTTATGAAGATAGAATTTGCCATGTTTCCAGCTACTGTAGACAGTTTCCCTCCTCTGTTCCTCGAGGTCAGCCAAGGCTTCCTGCTCATCCACTCAGTGTCTTTGATTCACATGGCTTCCAACAACTTTGCCAGAAAGCCACCATGGTCCTAGATCCTAGGAGAGTAGAGGATAGAGGCAAAGCCAGCCAGAATAGTCAGGGGACACGCTGGGGCACCAAGTAACAGGGTACAATCTTGAGGTGGGGCATTGAGGAGCTTCTGTGAGCTTGAGAGGCAGGTTAGGAATTCAATAGTGACAGGGTGCATATCTCACCAGGACCACAGGATGGGGTGCTGAGCTGATTCAATTAGACATAGAGAATTTAAGGAATGTGGTAATTCATACTCAGGATTGTAAAATTCATACCTGCTGATGTGATATATTGTGAAAACATCACATGCCAACTCTTAACTGGCATATAGAAGGTGACTGCCTAGTCCATTTGGGCCTCTACAACAAAATACCATAAACTGTGTGACTTACAAACAAGAGAAATTTATTGCTCACAGTTCTAGAGGTGAGGACGTCCCAGATCAAGGCACCAGCAGCTTTGGTGTTTGGTGCCATCTTCCTAGTTGGGAGATGCAAATTTCAACTGCATTTTCACATGGTGGAAGCAGGGAACTAGCTCTCTGTGATTTATTTTTTATTTATGTTTTAGAAACAGGGTCTCACTCTGATGCTCAGGCTGGAATGCAGTTGGCACAATCATAGCTCACTGCAGCCTTAAACTCTTGAGTTTAAGTAACCATCCTCCATACCCCACCCATCTCAGCCTCCTGAGTAGCTGGGACTACAGGCACACACACCCCCATATTCAGCTAATTTTTGTATTTTTTGGTAGAGAGGGGTGTCTCACTGTGTTGTCCAGGCTGGTCTCACTCTCCTAGCCTTGAGCGATCTTCCCACCTCAGCCCCCCAAAGTGCTAGGATTATGGGCATGAGCCACTGTGCCGAACCAGGGGGCTCTCTTTTGTAAGGGCACTAATCCCAACCTCTTAAAAGCCCCACTTTCTAATCCCATTATCTTGGGGATTAGGATTTTAAATAAATTTTGTGAGACACAAACATTCAGACCATAGCAGTGGTGGAGATAGTTGGGCAAAGCCATGATTTAATGTGTCTGCTCTCCAGTAGATACAGGAGAGCAGAAATGAAAAAGGGCTAAGAGAGGATTTGACTCCCAAAGAGACTCTGGGAGCCCAGCCTGGTGATAATTAGGAGCTGCAACATTAACAAGCTGTACATCCATCACTTCCATAAATCACTTTTGAGTTTGTCCATTTAAATGACTTTAAGCAATTTGGATCTTCATCCATTTTTACCAAAACTAACTCTATCTTTAAAATCAGAGTTGAAGGAAGATAGTTGTTTTTTATAACTTAAAAATTTTCCTAAATGCCCATCCTGCTTGGGAATGGTATAACTGGTCAGGGTTAGTAATAATTACATGTGAGGCCATTCTATTCACGTTCAATGGAAACTGTTGCTTGGCCTAGCGGAGGTTCCTCGTGGATTGTGGATGGGGCAAGGTCCAGATCTCTCAGTGGTTCTAACCTTGATCTCACTACCACTTGCCCTGCAACACTGGGCACATCAGTTCATGTCTGCGGACCTCAAAGTCCAATATTATACAGTGAGGAGATGGTCTAGAAATCTAAAGTCCCTTCAGTTCTAAGTGTCTATCATGTCTTAGCACATTTTTGCCTTTCAAAGAGATTTCACAGGCAATGGATTACAAACCAATCCATGAAGCCAGAGAAGGACAATTGTGCACGGCATTTGATAGACCCTAAAATTCTCCCGAGAAGCTGATTTGAGATGTGGCAAGAGCCAGGCCAAAACCAGGCATCTCACTCATTCATTCATTTATTTATTCATTTATTCATTCAACAAATGTCTGTTGAACACCTACTATGTGCCTACATTTCTCAGGATGCCAGCAACACTGCAGGTAAAAAACCCAGCAAAAATCCCTCACAGAGCTTACATTCTAGTGACAGGAGACAGGGTAAATAAGATAAATCAGTGAAAGTCTTAGTGTGCAAGATAGTGAAAGTGCTGGAGAGAAGGCGATAGGAAAGTGTGTGTGTTCACAAGCAGCAGGTGTGAATTGAAATTTGAGACAGGGAGGCTACACCTGCTGCTGTCCCAGTTCCTGAACCATCTACAGTGCCACGTGACCACACTGGGCTGAGCAGACAGGTGGCAGGCTGAAAAGGACATGAGCTCAATCTGGGGTCCTAGAGTCTTATTCTGGCACAGCTGCTCCTGGGCCTATGGTCTTAGGAACGTCCTTGACCTCTTAGAGCTTAACGTCATCTGCAGTACAGTGGGAATTATTAAAGACAATCTGCCTCCCGGCTGCTGCCTGTCAAATTCATAGTGTGGGGCCTCATGCCAAGACCCTGAGCTGCCCCTTCCTGCCTCACCCGGGACAGCACAGTGGGAGGCTCTCGTAGCTTCGCCTGCCTTCTGTGCTCAGCCTCTCGGTGTGTAGATTACACCCCAACACAGCACCTAAAGGGGCTGGCAAGGCTGAGCTTTCCTTGTCTTTTCTCAGTGAGCAAGGGACCTCCCAGTGTCCTGTGAGAATGAAGATGCTTCATTGGCACCTGCAGGGAGCACTCTGCCCTTTTCTAGATGTGGAAGACAATGAGCTCAGAAGGTCCAGGCTCCCTTCTCCAGACCACACTCCGCACTGCAGCTGGAGAGCATCCCCAGTGCCTCTCCAAGCCAAGCACTCAGTATTCTTTATCCAAACCACTCTCCTGTGAGGCCCTCCTTCCCCTGCCCCTCCATTTCCTCCTCCTCACACCCTGACACATTTGCAGCCTCTGGACTTGACTTTCTCACCAGCCACTGCTCTGCTGCCTGCATCACAAAATCACCAGCATGTACTTGTCTTTGAGGCTGAGCCAGAGATGCTGAATAAATGAATGGAAATGGACCCACTCACTCAATCCTTTGCCAGGCGAGGGAGACAGGATGAGTGAAGGAAGCTTAGCACATGTGGAGCATTCCAGCTGCACGGCAGCCCCCCGGCACCCTCCACAGCCAAAGGAAGAGTACACACATATTCAGACCCAGCTTCTCACACAGACATTATTTCCACAGTATTTATTATGCACTGACAATATGCAATGCCCTGTTCTGGGCACTGAGGATGCACAGTAAACAAACCAGTCTCTACTCCCAAGGAGCTGACAGTGTGGATGCAGCAAATCAACAAAACGACAAACATAAAGATGTTTGCAGATGGTGAGACGTGCTGTGAAGGAAGCCACAGGGACACGCGGCTGAGAGACAGAGGTTGCAGGGCTGCTTTATGGGGAATCTGGGAGGCCTCTCTAAGGAGCTGACCTGAGAGAAGCAGCCCTGTGGAACCACAGTGGGAGCAGCACCAACAGGAGCTGGACAGCAAATGCTGAACGAAGCCCAGGCTTGAGAAACGGCACAAGAGCTGTGGTCAGAACACAGGAGCAGACAGCAGAACAGCAGCGAGGTGGTATAGCGGAGTCCCCTCTGCCCTCTGCCACCTATGGGCCTCCTAAGGCCAAGCTCAGCCGGTGAAGGTAGTAGGTATAAGGGGAGTATCAGAAACACCGGAAGTGATATAGCATTATCTGCAATTGACTCATTGTCGAAATGGAAAGGAAACAGCTCTTGCCTCCCAGGGCTGTTGTAGGACTCGCTATATCATCTGTATTCTTCCAGTGCTTATGCTATTGCCTGGCACACAGGGAGAGTCAAATGAGTGCTTGCAATTAACATTGGCAGGGACTTGTTCGTAAAGCAGCTGGCACGTCCTGCCGGGGTTAGGGCTGTAAGTGTGAAGGACAGCCACGGGGTTGGAGTCATCATCTTACACTTTCAGAAGATGATCTGGTTGTGTGCGTGTGGACAATGGATGGGTGCGTGGTGAGCGGCAGGAGTGGAGGCAGCGAGGACACCAGAGCAGCCAGGAGGAAGTGCTGCTGCCTGGAAGGGTGGACAGAGGAGAGCGGGAGAAGAGGAGCAGTCTGGGAGGCTGGCTGGGATCCCCACCCTCTCACTCTGGCTTCTTCCCAGCCACAAGCCTGAGCTCTGCGCTGGGGGCCCCATTGGAGGGCTGGATACCGCACATCAAAAGACCAAAACCTGACAGTGAGGTGGAAACCAGTGCAAAAACGACACCAGCTCAGAAACTCCCCACAAAGGGCTTTCATCAGACTGACCTGTGCAATGTCAAAGAGTATGGCCTGGGCCCCATACATCCTTAGGCACAAGGGCCGACATGGGTACCTACAGCAGCTACTGACTGAAACACAGTAGATAATACATGGTACCTGGAATGCTCCCCAGCATCATGATCTGGAAGCTGAGTTTTTGCACATGCCCTATTCTTGGAAGGTAAAAGGGCATGTGTGTAGGTGGTGGGGAGGGGGTTCTATTTCCCCCATTTGTATATTCACAATGTGAAGAACGATAGACCAGGTGGTGGGAGAAATTACCGGTCCCAATTCCTCACCCTCCTGTGGAGGGAATGGATGCTCACTCCCTTGCCACAGCTTCACCAAGGGCAGCCTGCGCTTTTCCACTCCTCAGTATTGGGCCTGACCCTGCCACTTGCATGGGCTGAGAGGACGCTGGCAATGTGACCCAAGCAGAGGCTTGAGGTGTGCTTATTAGACTCGCCCTCTTATGTTCCTGGCATAACTGCAAGAGATGCAGGCTTTCTCTGGGTAGCCCTTCAGCCAAAGAAGCAAAGGACATGACATGATCAAATGTGAGACCTGCTGCCAAGCCTAGCCAAGCTCAGCTTAGCCTGAGTCAACCCACAGACCCACTTTAGCTTGTCTGCCATGGAGGTCTTGTTAATAACAATAGCTGACTAGTATAGACACCATCACAAACCTTGCTGACTCAGCACTCAGGGTCTGCAGGCAGAATGCCGGCCACTTTGCACACATCGTTCATGTGACCCAGATGCCAACCTAAGACACAGTGCTGTCATCTCCGTTTCACAGATGAGAAAATGGGGGCTCAGCAGGTCTTTGTCCAAGGTCACAGCTAGTACGGAAAAGAGCCCAGATTCAAATCCAGGTTTTTGTGCCTCCAAAGCCCATCATGTACACCAGAGTTGCCCTCACTCTCTGCCTGTTAGGGCCTCTGCCCTGGATTTGCCAAGCCCATCACTTTATTTCAGGACTTCATTTCCTTTAAAACACATCATTCAGGTGTGGCTTTTTCAAATTATGCCTGAACTGTTCATCTATGGATGCCAAACGCAGCAACTCCGCAGAGGACCGTGACAGCCCCCTCAAGGCAAGCCCAGGGAGCCCCCTCTGACAAAGGCTGGCTGACGCATGCAGCAGGTCACTCCGTGGCCACCTGCTAGCTGTGAGAAGTCATGTGCCGGGAGAGGTGGTGGCGCTCCCGGAAGTGCTCCTGGCACACAGGGCAGGCAAGGGCCTCTTCTCTCCTCTTCTGAGAATGTGGGTCAGGCCCCACATACTCCTTTTTGTGGTGGGACCGCATGTGGAAGACCAGATCGGATGTCAGGCGGAAGGACAGGTTGCACTTTGCACACCAGTTCTGGGTGGACAAGCCCAGGGAAGTGAGGGTAGGTGGCAGGAGGGCCCACGAAATGGTGGAGGATGATGAAGGTGGGGGCCCCTGGGCCCGGGTGTGCTCGAGCCACAGTGTGGGGGCACCCAGGAAAGCACTGCAGAGTGGAGCATTCTGTGGCAATGTTTGCAAGTTCCAGAAATCACCAACCAAAAGCTTGGGAGTTGAAAGTCGACCCCAACAAGGGAGGTCTGCAGTGTTGAAGAGTCCAGACAGCTCCCCCAGGGTGTCTGCAGACTCCCCTGCAGGGAAGACTGGGGTTGGTGCCGGCCTCTCTGCAGGTCTCTTGGTTGGTTTGCTAAAGGCGCTTCTCTGCTCACCTCGTACTCTGCTGGGCCACACAGAGAAGACTGTGCTGCCAGCTGGGTCTCTGGGGACAGCCTGGGCCAGGTGCAGGGTGCCAGGCTGACCTGTAGGGTCATCATGATCCCTCTCCTGGGCTTGAGCATCCCCGCACTGGTCCTTCATCCTCGGCAGCTCTGTGAAGGCGCTCTGCCTCTGCTCCCCATGTGCCTTTGGGGGCAGCGGCTGGCCGGATTGGGGCCTGCCTGGGGCTGCCAACAGTGCCGGCTCTGCACTGCCCACATCCCGTCCCGCCCTGCCCACAGTGGCCTCAGGGCCCAGGCAGTTCGTCTTCTCCAGCAGCACTGGCTTGTGGCCCTGGCCCAACTCAGGTTCGTTAAATTGCCACCTGTTTTCAGCCAATGGGCTCGATGGGGCCCCCTTCCCTGCCATAGTGATCAGCAGGGCCAGGGCCACAGGATGAGCAAGGTGGCTGCTCTGGCAGCCATCAGTCTTCAGGAGTCTGGAGTTCTGGAGGGCTTGGCCCAACAAGGAACCATGAGATGGGAAAACTTCCTGTGACACTGGGCTGGACACACCGCCACAGGGCCCTGCGGAGAGAGGAAGGAACAAGCAGTGAGATGGGCATTTGGCAGTCAGGCACAGCACACCATAAGCTGGCGTCAGACAGGACCCTGATGCTCAGGCCTCCTCCACTGTCTGTAGGATGGGTGTGTTGACTGCACTGCCTCTGAGGAGACAAGGATTGTGGATGGCACCGTCCTCCAGGGCCCACCTCCCAGAGGCAGAGTGAGGACAGGGGTCTTTGCTGAAAGTGCCCATGGGCAGCTTCCCCTATAGCCCAGTAGAGAGAAACATAGGATTCCCCTGGCAGAAGTAGTTCCCGGGCATTAACCAGGCATGAAACAGAGCATCTAGAGGGGAAGGGAAAGAGCCTGCTCTGGGGGCTGCGTTAGGGACTTGGGGACCCTCCAGAAGTTTCTGGGTCATTAGAAGTTTCTGGGTCATCTGTCAACAAGTAGACTCCTTCATGTGGAAGCCCCTGCTCCACATGAAGCAGGGGTTAGCACTGAAAGTGTGAAGGGTTAGGACTGTAAGTGAACAGGCAGCCCTGCTCCATGCTCGAGCTTCCTCTGGCCCTGGCCGAGCATTGAGGACAGAGGGAGGTGGCAGCATCAGGGTCACAGCGTTGGAGGACCATGGACTTCATGGTCTTTGTTCCTCACACAGCCCTCTCTGTCCTGGCCCTAACGTCAACCCATCACTCCTCAGGCTACCAGACCTGCCTCCTGGCATGGCGGCCCCTTTGTCCACATCACATTCCCTGTCAGCTTCTGCATAGTCTCCAATTTTCTCAGAGTCACTCTTCTTGTTTGTGAGAGCCATGTGTCCCCACTCTTCTCCCGACACCCAAGTACATGTGAACAGCATTATTCCCACTGGACATGTGAACTCATTCCAAAATGCAGCTCAGGCACAGCCTCCCCTTAAGGCCTCCCCAGTGCTCTCAGACACAGACAACACTCCCTCCTCCATACCACCACTGTCCCAGGCACCAAACGCCTGCATGTACCACATGCAACATTATATTTACTTGTTTGGGGTCTGCTAGAAGGCAAACTCTAAGAACCCAAATATGTCAATTCACCTTCACATCTGCAGCATTTAGTCATGCCTGCAATAGGACAGGAGCTCAGGAAGCCTTTGCTGAATGAACGAATGAGGGACAGGACAGCAGCTGTCCTGTCCTGATAAAAGAAGTCAACTTTATTCTCCTAGAGTGTGGCCCATGCCCTGCTCCTGCACAGAGAGGAGAATGTGAGCCCCCCATGCTCTCACAGGGCCAAGGGAGGAGAGAGCTGCATGGTGAGAAGGGGAGGAGCCCACCGCAGCCTGCCTCGGAGCATCTCTGCCTCCTTCTCCTACCCTGTGCTCCTCAGCGGGCACTTGGTCCCTGCCCAGTTCACAGCTCAGGCACAGCTGGGGAAACTGCTAGCTGCGGCAGATGGGCGTGCTTTGCTTTCCAACTCTGATGTAAGATCAAACCGGGAAGCCCCACCAAGGGCATCCAGCCTCTCCCATTCCCTCATCTCCCCTTTGCCCTAGGTCCAACCCCAGTGAGAACCCACCCAGCTTTTCCTTAGGGAAATAGCCCACCAGCCATAGGAACTCACTACGAATACAGCTGATTGGCCGATGGGTGCTGAGAGTCACCTTAAGGGTGGGGGTCACAAAAGGGCCCAGAACTCTTAAAGTACCCTGCCTCAGGTGCTGAACTAACAACAGTCTGATCATGGCTGGAAGAGGCAGGCTGAGGGGTCAGATCTGCCTAACAGGAGAAGGAAATGAAGTATAGTTTATAGTGGTGAAAGCAACATGCAAGTAGATGCGTAACTCCAGAGACATGGCGAACAAAGCAGGATGCAGACGCATGACGAAGCACAGTACAGCCTTGGACAGTGATGCTTGCTGTGCTTATGACTGAACGCTGAGGAGGCAAAAGGACAATAAGACTATAGATTTGGTGTTGTCTATTCTATGCACACACACGCAAGGTGCATACATCAAAGGAAAAACCCCGGGAGGAAGCACGGAAAACGACCACCAGGTCATTTCTCGTGATTCGCCCTTCCATTCATTCAGTAAGCACGAGCTGAGAGCATCCAGCATGCGGGCCCTATGTGAGGTGCTGTAGTGACAGTGGTGATGAGGCAGTCGTGAGTTTGGCTGTACCGAGCACAGGGACCTGCACATGTGCCAGTGTTGCATACGGCAATGGTGGCATCCCAACTGAGCCCTGAAGACCCAGAGGGGCTGCCCAGGATTCAGAAAAAGCTTGCATGGGGCCTGTGGTGTGGAGAACCTGAGGGCTCTCTGGGGAACTGAGCCTAAGGCAGTTCTGCAGTGGTCGAGTGCCTGGGGAGGGGCGGGACCCGGAAGCCAGAATAAAATGGACTTGACTGTTTTCAGAAATAAATGATTCATTTTTTAAGTGTGGCCATAAAGACCATGTCATAGTATGGGGGGAAAAACTTATAATACAATGTTAGTGTTCAATATAAATATGTTGTAAAACAAAACAGGAAAACAACTCTATCTACCAAATCAACAAAAACATGAAAGAAAATATACCAAAGCAACATATATGTGAAAAATAATTTATACTACATACATGTACTATATAACATACAGTATACACAGTATGTATACATAATATACCATATGATACGCCGTATATGTACTATACTATATACTATCATGATGCTAGTATGATGGAATTGGGGGGATTTCTCTCAACTTTCCAATATTTTCAAACTGTTCTGGTTTTATTTTAGCATGTTGTTTTGTTCAGAAGTCAATTGTTTTAAAGGGGGCAGTGCCCTTTTCTGCTTGGTCAGGGTCAGAATTCTGTAAGGGATTCTCACAGTGAAGCCTCTGTGACTTCAGAGATGCTACTTTCCTAACCAGTCCAGGAAATAATTCTGAGTTGAATTCCTCCCACTGTCTACTCTCCCTCGGAAAAAGGGAGTCCTAGCCCCCATGCTGGAGTGCTCCGGCTGGAGTATCCTGGGAGTGGAGGGGCCTGTCTAGTGGGTGGGCTATTTCTCATGGGGGCTTCATGGTCTGTTTCACACCACCTAGAGAGACCTCACCTGTGCCAAGCCTGGAACTGAGCATTTCCCAGGCCACAGGAACAAAAGGAGAGCTTTGGAAGAAGGGTGAAATGCCTGGGTACTTAGATCAGATCAGATCAGCTTTTAGGCAAAGTGCATTTCATTTCCTGTTCATTCATTCACTCGATAAACATGCACAAAGCACCTACTATGTGCCAGGCTCCAGCCTACATAAGACTGGTGACTCTCACACTGATTGAACTCTAAGTAGTTAGAAACGGGTGGAGGTAGGGTGAGTGTGCAGTGTGGCCTACAGCGTGGCCTGGAGGATGCATGCGGAATTCAGAGCAGGAAGATCCCCTGTGGAGGCCCAGAGAAAACACTAGGGTGGGACGTAGTCCCAAAATAGCAGCCCTGGTCCTGCCTGTGCTTGGATGCAGGAAGAGAACATGGTAATGAAATGTGGGGACAAAAGTCACCCTTGGGCAACTGGCTGAGAACAGAGCCAGTGATGCTAGGAATTTGGCAGACTGAGCTCCGTGGCTTACTCTGCCTTGGCATGTCGTGGGGCCACTGACCCCCACCACACCAGATTTTCCCAACCCCAGCAAGCATGCAGAACTCAGCCATAGTGATGCTCAGGGGAGGGACACCCTCCTGTCAGCCCTCCCCACCCACCCCTTTCATGTGCCAGCCTGTCGCCAGTAACATGTGGTAAGGTCTTTGCTGGAAGCTCAAGGCTCCTCTGCTTTCTGAGCATGGGGAAGACAGAGCCCAATGTGAAGCTTAAGTCAAGAAAAAGAAATAAAGAGAAGGAGAAAATGCATAAAGATTCCTAGCACTAAACCTTCTATCTCCATCTTGCCCCAAACTCCTCCAGCACTCTCTGTCTTGAAAATTTGAGAAACTGCATGAGAAAACTTTGTAAATGAAGTCAGAGGTCACAAGCAGGGGAAAGTCCTGGTCTCAGACTAGGCCAAATAAGGAAAAATATTAAAGACATCAGGAAAGCACTGACCTTGCCCACAGAACGCCTGCCGCAGTGAGCTGCCACGCGCCTGGCCTAAGTGAGAGGTGGACACACTCCCTGGGCAGCTGCCATCTGGGGGTTCAACCTCACGTGTGTCCAGAGCTCTTGATGGAGGAGAGGGATGGGCAGAGACTGCTTCATCCCCACTGGAATTAGGCACCTCTTGCCTGGTGTTGACACAGATGTGAGGAAGGGAGGAGACCACATATATGGCAGACTGAGCTCCGTGGCTTACTCTGCCGTGGCGTGTTATGGGGCCACTGACCCCCACCACACCAGATTTTCCCAACCCCAGCAAGCATGCTAAACTCAGCCACCCTCACACCATCTCAAAAAGAAAGCCTCTGTTGCTTGGCAAAGAAGAAATTAGGTCCACGCATGTGACAAATGTTAGACACAGTGACCATTGCTGGTTTTTCCCTCTGTTTTCCTACCTTGGCAACATTCTTAAAAGAAAATTCAAAACAGCAATTACAACAAAAATCTTCCTGTTATCCTTCAGAGAGCACACTACTGTATTTGCTTTACTCTAATGGCTATTGCATCTACTTCCAAGCTTTAGACTATTAATAATACATAGAAATACCAAGAAGCAAAATAAAACAGAAAGGCACAAAAAGTAGAATGGGAAAGACATGGGTTCGAATCTCACATCCACAGATTTATTATGGAGCTTCAGGTGTGTAATGTAACTTCTCTGAATACTGGGCAATCATGTAAATAAGCGGGAAAATAATGCATTTAAAAGGGTAAAAATATCCAGAAAGAGGCTCCCACCTCGCCCGGCCTATGTCAGTGCCTCAGGAACGTTCATTTCTTTCTTTGTGGCCAAGGGACAGGAACAAAATGAAGGTCATGTAGAGGTAAACAAAAGAATCAATGATTGCACAGAAGCTGCTGGGGCACCTTCTCCAAGCTCACAATGGAGAGATGCAAAGTCTTCCAT